TTGCATATAAATTTTAATTATATAAAAATATAAGTATAAAACAAGATATATTTTATCTAAAAAATAATAAAAATGATATTTTTTATGTGCTTAAAAAATTAAGTATCATATAAATAAATATTAAAATTTAAATATATATTAGATGTTACATAAATATAAAATTGAAAAAAGAACCGGTTAGATATATAAATACTAAAAATTATTTAATATTTACGTAAATCCCCAACTCAATAAGTGCACGAGCTCCTTTATTAGATAAAGCGTGCTTAGCGAGCTCAGATGGGAGAAGGGGCGTCGCTGGGCATCTTTGAAGCCGGGGCGCTTATCCGCCGCCCTCGATTCCTTTCCAGCCGGTGCTTTCCCGGCCTTCTCCGGCGCTTTCTCAGCCTTCTCCGACGCATCTGCCGTCTTCTCTTTCTCTGCTTCTCACATGCGGGATTCCGCTGCTTTCTCGCCCTTCCGATGCTTCCGCCTTCTTCTCCTCTACGGACTTACCGCCGGCGGGTTTGTCCTCTGCGGGAATTTTGTCAGATCACGAACTCCTTTAGAGAAAGCGTACTTAGCGAGCTCAGATGGGAGAGGGGGCGTCGGTGAGCATCTTTGAAGCCGGGAGCGCTTATCCTCCGCCCTCGATTCCTTTTCCGCCAGTGCTTTCCCGGCCTTCTCCGACGCTTCCGCCTTCTTCTCGTTCTCTGCTTATTGCCGGCGGGCTTCCGGTGCTTTCACGTCCAGCTCCGACCCTTCCACTGTCTTCTCCTTCTCTGCTTGTTGTTGGCGGTGTTCCGGTGCTATGTCGGCCTTATCTGATGGTTCTTCCGGCTTCTCCATCACTTCTTTTCGCAGGCAAGATTCCGGCGCTTTCTCAGCCTTCTCCGACGCATCTGCAGTCTTCTCTTTCTCTGCTTCTCGCAGGCGGGATTCCGCTGCTTTCTCGGCCTTCCGATGCTTCCGCCTTCTTCTTCTCCACGGACTTACCGGAGGCGGGTTTCTACTCTGCGGGAATTTTGTTAGATCTCAGCTACGTTATTATTATTATTTTTCTGCTCACATTATTTTGATTACCCAGAGTCCCAGTTTTTTCCTTGGCAAACAATAATTTGAAAAGACCCCTATTGGCCTAGTAACACAGATGAGATGATTATTGCTAGTGCAATCTACATGTAGCATCTTTTTCTATTTAATAATAATTTGAATAAACTTTTTTAATAAATTAAATACAAGATATATAAGTTATGATTATTCCTAAAAATATCTTATAAAATTTTGAAAAATATTCATATTAAAATGAATTCAAAGTATATTGAATAATTTTATCATCTATATTAGCATTTGCTTATCATCAATTATTTTTTAACATAATAATTTTCTTATAAGTTGATCATCAACAGGGTGCAATGGATATCCCAGAGAAATACAAGCAGCTATGGATACATTGGGATGCTCGTGTCTTGATTTTGCTCAGCGTCTCCGTCCAAATTGTCCTTTTTTTTCTTGGCCACCTTAGAAAAACTTTTGCTTTGAGCTGGATGCGAATGATCTTATGGGGTAGCTACCTCATCGCCGACTTGCTTGCGAACTTTGTTCTGGCCCACCTATGCAATGACATGAATGATTCCTCCTTCTCCAATGCTATTGTCGCATTTTGGGCTCCCTTCCTCATCCTCCACCTTGGTGGCCCCGACACTATCATAGCTTACTCCATGGAAGATAATGAGCTTTGGGCCCGCCATCTTCTCAGCCTCGGCTATGGGCTCATCATTGCCTTCTATATCGTCTTTCGCTCCCTTCCAAACACAAGCTTACTTGCCCCCACCCTATTGATATTTTTAGTGGCAATCGTTAAATATTTAGAACGCTCTTACTCGCTTTACAAAGCTAGTACTAAAGGCTTCCATAGCTCCATTAGTTCCTCTTATAGAAAACTATCGCTAGAAGATTTGAACCCTTTGAGTCAAGCTTTTTATTTATACTTTGCTTGTAGGCCTTTCTTCATCAATCTTATTCCACACTTCGAGTTGTATACTAAAACAAGAAATTTGATTAAGGAGATGACAACAAAGGAGGTTTGGAGGGCGATGAGTAAGGTGCTTAGTTATGTTTATGATGAGATTTATACCAAAACTATTATAAATCACTCTATAATTGGGTATGTTCTTCGGGTTCTCTGCTCCTTTTGTATTTTCTTGGCTTTTTGGCTTTTTCTTATAGTGCCAAAGGATGATTTTGGGAAGTTTGATGTGATCATCACATATATTCTGCTTGTGATCTCTATATGTTTGGATGTCACGGCTAATATTATGCTCATGTTCTCGGATTGGATGATTTTTTCTCTCCTCAGTGTTAAGAAATTAAGAAACTTGAGTGTGTTGCTTGCTAACTGCATTGTTAGAATTAAAACTGTGTGGCATAAGAGAAGCTGTTGGTCGATAAAGATGCCACAATTGAGTTTACTCAATAATTGCCTCAATGTTTATGCACCAAATAGAGCTCTTCATAAAAGGATGATGAATTCAATTGTAGAAAAGCTAAACTTTGCGCAGGAGACAAAGTTGTATCCAGGATGGAGAACTACAATAAATGAAATTTATACCTTGCAGGCGTTGCAGCCAACACATGCAAACGAGAAGATTATGAAGATCATTGCTTCAAATGTAAAAAAATGTTTAGCAATAATCCGTTCTGATTGGGTTGTCCCAGGATATGCTCAAAATTTAAAATTCAATAAACTGGCAGGACTTTATGCTATCTGGCAAGTAATAGATTGGGCTATCCCAATATTTGTTAAGCTTTTAGATGGGATATCACTTGATCAACAAGTTTTTATATGGCACATCACAACTGAGCTTTGCTTTCATTGGAATCCAAAGCCTTTACATCCCTCGTGTCCTCATCGGAGAGAGTTGGAAAAAGAAAGCATATCAACAACAAGAAAGTGTCGAGAGATGAAAGCTTGTAAGTATTTGTCGAACTATATGATGTATACGGTGCTACTGCGACCAGAGATGATGTCTACCATTGTACAAGAAAGCTCGGTGTTATTTTATCATGCATTTGATGATATGGTTCAGTTCATTCACAGTTACAAAATGCAAAATGCAAAAATTGAGGAGGTGTGCAAGAAGATAATGACTACTCCAACAGTGTGGAATGATAATAATAAATCTTTTTTTGCGATTGCACGAGCACTTGCTGATTTGATGCTTAAAATTAAGGAAGACGAGAGATGGCAAGTTTTAACTATGACATGGGCTGAGCTTATAATTCATGTGGCAAAAAATTCAAGGGCAAACATGCATATGAAGCAGTTGAGTAGTGGAGATGAGCTCCTCACTTTCATTTGGCTTTTAAACAAGTATGTGGAAACAGATGATATGTTCCATATTATACTTGATATTCCAGGAAATTAGCTTATGATAGTCAAAGAGCTTTCATTAAAGATCAAACTTCACCTATATAGTAGATCATAGGTCTATCAAAAGTTCTATGGCAAATATTTAATTGTTAAGAACCAAAGCAATGCATGTATGGTGTTATTTTTAATTGTTTGTATGTTTTTTTTTAAAGATAATCTATATTGTGTAGTCATATGTTGTATTATTGTATATTTTGGTCATAACTTACATATTCAATTATTCATTTAGTGAGGGGGGAAGATCTACATATTATTTTTTATCCCTTCACATCAATATTTATTTGTCATTATTAAGCAGAGAAAGATGTTGAATATACACTTATGTGCAGCTCTCCATTTTGATTTAATAATAACAAATATGTGTAGTGTAGTCTAATATTTACTAATTGTTATCTACAAGTTAATCAAGTCCTGGAAATCATTAAGATAATTTACATGTTATTCATGCCATAACACTCATTAGAATGATCCTAATGACTCATTAAGCATGCCTTGAGTGATTGAAGCTTTGAGAAGGACTTAAACATTCAATTAAGAGGATTAAAAAATCATAACTTTTGAAATACTTGATTTAGACTTTGATTTTAGTTCCATTGGATCTGGAATGTCGTTTTGAATCAAAATCATATATTAATATTTATTTTTATGATTTGGATGCTTATCATTGTCAGGGTGGTATGCTAAAATATCAAAACTTTCATTTAGAATGAGCATGTTGGAAAATAATTTTAATATTCACAATTTTGTTCTGGCATATATAGCAGGTTATGTTTCTTTTAGCCCACTCTATTTCTTGGTCCCAGTACCCACAAGATGGGCATGTCAAGTGCTTGTTACTATATTTGGACTTATGACAGACATGTTGCAAGGTCTTGAATTGTGTGTGATATATGCCTTGTAGGTCATGCATGTCATGAAATTCTTGTTAATTACAATGTATATGCAAACGTCAAGCAAGAAGCATTTATTTCCTCAAGATGATCTATCTAGCAAGAAGCATATATGACCTGGATGCTTATCTTCATCATGAGGGCATATGCTACACCATTAGAACATTCATTTAGAATAAATGGACAAATCAACAAATATATTAAATTTTAAGAAGTCTGTTCTGCTAGCCAGCTAACCGTCTTGTAGTCCATGCCATTTCTTGGCCAGCATGAAAATTGGGCAACTCAAGTGTGTTACTGTATTTGGACTTATGACAGCCATGGTTCAAGGTTTTGACTTGTATGTGCTAGCTATTTGGCTTTTAGGTATTGAAATTCAGAATGTAAGCATGCTTATGAATGTTTTCAAAAAATGAGCAAAATGGTAGATTTGCATACTACAAATCTCTAATGTCACATTAGCAATTATGATTATTCCTTCTAGCCAGGAGACATTTATATTAGGTAGAGCAACACAAGCAGAAGTCCGCTTAAATTATAAATATATTTCTCCAATGTTAAGCTTTATCTAAATGCTCGCATTTTGCCTTAGTTTTTCTTGTCAAATGAATTTTGTTTACTTTTTCTTTTCAAATGCATATTGTTATCTGGTTTCTCGAGAAAAGCCTCTTTGTCAATTTCTGCTATATGCAAGGGATCATCTGAAAGACAAGAACAGTAAAGAAGTGCCTACATGGCTTTTGTAGAGAATGTATTGATAAATCTATGCGACTTGGGTATGCGAGGACATGCTGATGTGAAACATAATGCATGGAAACAAGAATTGCAGTTAAGATATTAATAGAAGTGATGAACTTTACTTTGCTACCAAATAACTCTTTGTTTACTCAAGTTAAAGTTTAAGAATATGGCGTTGAAAGATTAAGCAATAGAAATAGATTACACGTTGAGATTACTAGAACTTGCAAAATAATAACCAAATATTTAGGTAATGCAAATAGCCAATTATAATAAAACCTCAAATTTAAAATCTAGATCATTCATCTTGAAGTCCTTCACTCGTTTTGAAAGTGGTGGCTAGCAGAGGAGGATTGTAAGTAGACTTAGCGATGCCACTAGTAGACAGGTGATCCCGAGAGGACTAGTTGCCGGGGAAGAAATCGGATTTGGAGAAAATGATGGACGCCTGTTGATGATCCAATCGTCTACCAGAAGTTGCTCGTCGATGACGTCCACGAGGGTGGAAAGAATACGGTTCAGGTAATCAATCCTCAATGGTGTGGTCGAAGCCGAACCCAGCGTCAAAGAATGGCGACCGGACGACGTCGATGTCCCCTTGAAAGTCAAACACAAATCCGTGATCACGCTCCGGATCCGCCATGCATTCTTGCCAGGAGTTGAAGGAGCACAAATGGAAATATGGGGGAAGAGGAGGGGGGAAGGTGGCGGTTTAGTGAGGGGAGGGGCTTGGCCGTGAGCAAGGGGAAGAGGGGAAAAATAGAAAACTGAATTAAATTCAGCTTCAAGGGGTTTTGGAGGGAGATTAATTTGAAATTTCAAATTAATCCATTAATGGCTAGAGGTGTTAATTGAGGAGATAATTGTGGGCTGATTTGGTGGGGCTTTGAATTTAAATTGGGAGAGAGAAAAGCCCATTAAGGGGCAGGCCACAAGTAGAGGAGAGAGGAGCTTGAGTATTAATTACATGGGGACCACAAAGAATTAAATAAACATAATAAAAAATCTGAATTTAATTTCAGAATTGATTATCATAAGTAACTCCCAAATTCAAATGAAAATAAGAGGGAATTTGAATTTCAAATATGTGTAACTCCTCTTAATTAATTTCCCAAATTAATATGGCTTAATTAGGAAAGTCATTAAGAGAGGGGAATTCAAAATTCAAATGGGGGAGCTAGAGGGGGCCGGCGGCATGGGGGTCCAAGGGGTGGCCGGCGGGCTGTTGGCCGGCTGCTGGCCGGCGGGTGGGGTTTTCAGGCCGGCGGCCTGGGCGGCTCAAGGGGAGGTGGCAACAAGGGGTGAAGGGAAGGGAGGAGGGGAATTTCTAGGAATTCGATTTGCTATAAATCCACTCACCTCAATTATCTTCAATTCAGATCTCCACGAAAATAATCTTGGCGAAAATTTAGAACTCTCGAAGATAATTAGTTTGTCGAAAATGAATAACAGAGCAAGAAAGAACCTAGAACTCACAAAGAGATTTAGCTTCTCCTACAAACTCACTAAGAGATCGAGGAGGGTTGAACTCACAAAGAGAACATAAGAGGCAAATTTTCATTCAATCTTCATCATCTAGTACAATGCATGAGACCTCCTATAAATAGGCCAAAATGAAACAAAACTAAAAGACATAAATGCCCTCAGGGCTACAATATCAAATGACCATTCATAAGGGTAAAACAGTAAAACTGAAAAATAAAATAAACTAATACATAAAATGACTCAAAATATAAACTCATGATCGTGACCGTCGATCTCCGGTGTCTCCGATGGTACACATGTCGAAATCACTGACGATGTCCTCATGACATGCATTCATTATTTATTTGATCTAAAAACTTTCCATTTCCGTAGGCTTGCTCCTTTTTGTCATATTTATAACTTTTTTTTGGTGACTTACACAATTGATTTTTATGCTTGACTGTAACTCCACTCTTTATAGCTTTGGATATGGATAGGTACAACCTGTCTCACCTGCCATATGCTGATGATCTCATTGTTTTTAGGAAAGCTTCTAATCTGGAGCCACACCACACCAAAATTTTCACTATGGAATTTGGGAGAAATAAGTGCAGATCTTTCTTCTATCTCACTCTCTTCTTGCTTATCTTCTCTCATATACCGTGCTCACACACAAAATAAAAGAAAAAGAAAAGTTAATAATGCTAAAGGGATGCCACCCTTCAGAAAAACAAGAAAGAAAACTGTCAAGCTCGCCTCGAAGCGCCACGACACCAGTTTTGAGCGCAGCGGCCCTCAAATCTATGATCCCAATCCATCTGACGATGCTGTGGCGCTCAAATAAGCAGTGCTACGACACTACACAGCGCAGTGGTGTCGAAAATACAACGTTGTGATTCTCCCATCAAAATTTGTAACAATAGGGCGCTCGGGAACACAATGCTGGGGTGCTCCGGTACACAACATCGGGGTGCTCGGACACATAATGTCGGGTGTGTTGTACCGAAAAATATTTTCAACTGCAAATCACCTGAACCCAAGCAAGGGAGGACCCCCGCACCACCTCGGCGAACACGAGAAATTGACTTGATTTTCGAGACGATAGTATAATCCGATTGATTAACACAATCGATTCTCACACAGACTAAGACCTACTTCTGTTTGTCTGAATTTGGAGCTATGTGATGAAGAGAATTTTAAGTGATTCATTGTTGAATTTTATAATAGTGGGCTGTCTTGCTCTTGGCATAGATTTGTTTGGCATAAACACTATGTTTTGAATTTTACTTATTACTATTGGATGGCTCTAGTAGGTGGTTTAAAAACAGCTGATGTTTTTAAAAGAAGCATTATGGTGGATCCTATATATTGCCTTTGCCAATCTTCTATAGAAAGCTCATCTCATCTTTTCTTTGAATGCAATTTCTTTTTTTTCTGTGATTGTTGAGCTGGTTTCTGAAATTAAAGATCAATTATTCAGACATAGCGTGTTACAGATTTTTGAGATCGTTGATGCTATGGTGCCGGCTTTTACTAATGCAAAGAACCTTTAGATGCTTATTACTTGTTCTCTTTACTATGTGGAGAGAAAGGAATGAAAGGAACTTTGGTAACTCCAATACTTCTACTACTATCTGCCATAATATTAAAAAAGTTGTATTTCATAAAGTTTCTAAGTGGAAGTACAGAGAAGCTCTTTTAGAATTGCTGTAATGCTGGTTATACTGGACTACAGAAATTCACATTGTTTATTAGTGAAATTAGATGATGCTTTTGGGAACTGTTATTTTGTTGGTTCAGGTTGGAAGCTTTTCGATGCCTGCTATGAGAGCTCGTTCCTTTGATTTGCTCTCTGAATTTGATTTTTTTTCTCCCAGGATCGTCTGGGACGATATTGAGATCGTCCAGGACGATCAGTGCATTGAAACAGCTGATTTTTCTGGAGTGGATCGTCCGGGCCGATGTTGGGATCGTCCTGGGACGATCAGATAAGACAAAAATTCCGAGAGCAAAACCGTAATTATCGTCCTGAGACATCGTCCTGGACGATTGGATTTTTGTTCACATCGTCCTGGACGATGTGCAGGTTTGTTTTATAAGGAAATCAGCTCGTTTTGAAGAGAGAGAAAATATTTTTATAAAAACAAAATATCTGAGGAGAGAGAAAGAGAAGAAAAGCAAAGCAAAAAGCCGGATTTCGGAGGCCGCGGAGCGCTTTTCGTCCGTCGCCGTTGTTGGAAGGATTGTTTATCTCGTGGTAAGGACTCCGAATCCTATTTCTGTTTTCGAAGATGTTGAGTTTTGGTCGTTTTGTACACAGAATTGTGTTTTCGTTACCGAAAAACGCGCCGCATTTTGTATTGACGAAACTTTCACCGCACAACTTTTGATATGTTATTGATATGATTTTTCTACACGTTTTGAGTATTTTCTGTAATGATTCTACCGATTATTTTGGGTTCTGTGCGATTTTAATCGAATAGATAAATATCAGGTTGCTAATTGATGTTGCTTCAGTAGAATAGAAGTCTTATATTGATGTTGTGCACGTTCTGTGGTAATTTGGTAAATTTCTGATTTGGTGATTTTTGTGTAAATTCCGTATACTGCCGTTATGCCGTTGGATTTTCGTACGATTTCCGATTTCCCCGAAATTGATGATTTGAATGCATATGAATGTGACTATCTAATACTGAATACTGAAAGACAAGTGGAGCCTGGTTGAACCGTTGGTTGGAGATTAACTTGACCTGTACAGGATGGTGGGCCGACGGACTTTCCTTTAAACCATTGATCATTGATATAACGATTGGGAGTCATAAGGAGTTTAATATGCCGACGGGCGCAGAGTGACGACTCTTATTAAACCAACGGATAGATGTATGGATCTTTACAACAGCACTATGGATTATCGAATAGCCAGTGATTGTACTTGTTCAGTAAGACTATTGTATGTAAATGCATGTGTACGACATTGACTCGTGATGGATTTATTGCTTTATTGATTTGGATTTACTGACGGATTTACGGACTTACTGTTATCGTACGATTTTATTGATATTTATATTCTGTCATTGCGCATTGCTACTGTTATAGATACTGTATGGATATGGATACTGTAATTGATTTATTGATGCTATGGTTATGGATACTATGGATTCATCTCTTGATTCATTGATACTATTGCTTCTACACTGTATTGAACTGCTGCATCTGATTCATTGCTATTATAGACTTGGCTTTATTGTATTGATTTTATGATTTCATACCGATCGATTTAATTGACCAGAAAGTATTATTTTGATTGATTCGATTTTATACCATTGATTTGACTGATCGACTGATTTCCTACTGTTTATTGATTCTTCTACCGCTGCATTGACTACTGATTTGATTTCCGTATTTGCATAGATTCATTGATCATGTGCAATTGACTGTTATGGATTTGATTGATAGACATGCATATTGTCTCTAGTACCGTGCTTTGATTTCAGTTGTAGGTATTAGGTGACCTGCTGGGCTTTTTGAAGCTCATTATATGTGGTTAATATTTTCAGGTCAGGGCAAGGGAGTAGGAGATTGAGGTTGATCAGGAATCTCCAGGTTTTTGTTCTTTTTGGTTATAGATATTCTTTTGTACTCAGGACTGGATAGATGTCAGTTCTTAGTATAGTTCCTGAGTATTGTATATGATCTTTTGAGAATGAATCGACTTATACATTGATGTTTTAAATGTTATAGATTTTTGCTAGAATGTTTGATTGATGTTATAGATAGCTATGGTAAATTGTTGATGGATTGCTTGAAATTCTTTCCAAGTTAGATCTTGGGGCGTTACACCTGCTTTGTGGGATTCCATCACGATGCCTGCTGTTTTTTCTCAAATATGGCTCGGAGGGAATTTGCAAGCCCTGGATGATGATGATTTCCCAGTTTCCCATTTAAATCCCCTTGAAAGGTCTACGGGCAACTTGGGGAGTGAATGACAAGCCTAATTGTTGATTTAGAATTATTTCCAAATTAAAATAAACTTTTATTTGAAAAGCTTTTAATTGCTCATTATTGTAATTGATTAAGGAATATATTATTTCTCGAATTAAGTTGATTTGATTGGAGATTTGATTGATGCATTAATTAGGGATTTAGTTATTGTATTAATTAAGAATTTGATTGATGCATTAATTAGGAGATCTAATTATTGCAGTAATTAGGGATTTGATTAGGATTAGACTAGGAAGCTTTTTTTTTTTTTTAATTTACTTTGGCTCAAATTTATAAATAGAGCCATTGGAGCTGTTGTTGAATGTAAGAGATGAGAGGAAGAGAGAGCTCATTGTAATTCCCTATTGTTCTCCAATATAGTGAAATCATCATCCCCTCCCAGGAATGTAGGCATCTTTGTTGAACCACGTAAATCACTGTGTTTATGTTGTGTGAATTTTATTTCCGTTGTAATTACTTGCACAACACTAATATGTACTAATTTTTCCATCTTCTTACTTAATCGGAGTCCTGGTTAGTCCTGGTTTTTTTGTGAGCTATATTACCTATTGCTTTTTGTTTTTACCTATTGCTTTTTGTTTCTTTGGCAATGTTCCATTTCATAGATTAGTTATGTTTTTGGTCTCTTCTATACTCTAATAGGAGTGCTTTTCGGCTCATGTTGAGGTAGCTCCAATTTTTGTTGGAGTTTAATTGCGAGCCGGAAACATAGAGCTTGCATGGGGTAAAGGTGGTGCTCGAAGCCAAACTCGGCATGGTAATAGCACTGGTTATAATGGAAGATTTTTGAAGGCGGCTCGATTAGCCAGGTTGATGGAATACCTGCGTAATTTGGAGGAAAATGAAGATAAGGTATTCACCAAACAACTAGAGCAATTTGATAATATTCTGCATTTCAAAATCCCTCAACTTAAATACTATATTTCGCTCTTGTACATCTGAAACTGATTCCTTTGAAGGAACAAAGCTTGCATTTGGAAAGTCCATGTATCTGCTGTCCACCAACCATAGCTATTAGACAAATACTCCAAGTGAATAATACTTCCAAACCTTTTGATAATCGCCTTCAATTTTCAAGCTTAAGAAAACTATTCATTTAATCAAATTATATACTATATATATATATATGCAATTTTGCGCGCAGTTCATCGCCATTCAAACATTTGTTAAAAGGCGTCAAAATGATTCTGTGGAGCTGTGTCTAACCAAGTTGAGAAGGTCCAAGCGGACTCCTCTGAAGAATTCCAGATATTGAATCCAGAAGAATCAATTGTTGGATTGCTAGCTTCTTACAGCTCTAATCGAGGTGATCTGGTAAGAAAGTTCAGCTTATGAAACATAAGCACCAACTAATGTGACTACGGCTTCGTTTGGGACAGTTTTCATACTGTTTTTTAAGACGGCTTTTTTAAAATTTTTGTATTAAAAACTGTTTATCTATGTAGACTTCGGTTGTTTAATATAAATTGTACTTCTCATTTATTGATCTGAAGGATAATTTGTTTTCAGGAATTAGTGTACTGCGCTAATGCCGATAGAGAGAAAGCAAGTTAGGACATCTTTGCAGCTGAGTCTAATGAGCTGTATGCTTTGTTGTATAAATGCAAAATGGAATATCGAGAGAATGTTCAATTGAGCTCGTTCAGATTACATCAACAAATTCTTTGTAAATCGCATGGTATGATCTCAACACTATCAATGCAAAAATGTCCTAACTTTCTCGTTTGTTGCAGTTTTTTTTTTTTTTTTAACTGTCTATTTCGATGAAAAAATTGCATAAAAATTATGCAATTTTTTTTTAAATTGTTTTGTAAAGTTGTTTTTGAGAAAGATGAATGGAAATTGTAACGGTTTTGTTTGGGATAGTTTTTTAATAACTTATCTTTTTTTTTGTGTTGATGAATCTTTATTACCCATTATGAAATATAGGAGTCGGTCAAACTTTATAATAAAAAAATATATGCTGTGGACTAATTCTTTCTCACTTTCATGATAAGGGTTTAGCATAATTAATGGCTTCATGATTTAAAATAACTGTTAATTAATTTAAATTAAAGACTAAGACCTTGATTCAAATATAATAAAAAAATATATGTTGTGGACTAATTGCATATTTTTAAAAAAACTTATATTTAAAAAGTAAATTTTATATAATATATAAGTAAATTTTACGATATTCTCAATGAAAAAATTTGTATCAATAATAATTGAATATTGAAAAAGACCAAGTTTTTCATTTCCAAATGAACAAAAGTAATCATATTCGTCTAAATAAGAAATAAAAATTAGATTTCGTCTAAATGAAGACACAAAAAGTCTTACAACATTCAAATTATATATATATGTACAATATATATAAACTTACAACTTTAATATAGTTGCTTTGTTGTTATTTTCTGAATAGCTAGATTGCGGTGCGTAACGCAACGTCATCAACGCACTTTGACGGAAGTCAAATTGGCCGTCCGAGGTGCCTGAGGGTTTATACATTTGCATCCGTGGCAACTGATGGAGATTAATTCGGATCTCTTCATGGTCTGAAGAATAGTCGTTTGGTTACGACGCACACTCCGTTTCTATAAGTTGGTAAAAGACAGTTGTTGAAGATACCGAGTTTTACAAAAAAAAAAAATTAAAAAATCTGGTAGTTGAAAATTATACTTATAACCTATTGTCCACTCAAAAGGCACTACCTTTTGTATCAATCTCATTAAAGGAATAGCAATACGAGAAATTTGTTCATAAATATTATGTAATATCCATGCATACCCATAAAGCTATGTACCTGAAATATGATAGTAGGTCTTGGCCTATTGGAAATTGCTTACACTTTCTGTGGATGTACAAAAATTTCTTCACTATTTAATTTATCATATGCCCCATAAAGAAAATGCTTTTAACTAGAATTCATATTTGAAGAATTTTGCATATAGTATGTGCAATCTCAATATCTCCAAAAAAATAATCCTTACATGTAAACATAAAAATAAATTGATCAAGATATATCTTGAATATTCTATTTATTAAATTCATAAAAATAGCAGGTGCATTAATCATCCCAAAAAATATGACTAAAAAATTATAATATCCATAATACCTGATGTTGAATGCAGTCTTGAAGGGTGTGGGTGTCCGTTGTGGGTGGGGGTGGGGATCTGCATTTGGGTGAGTGTGGGCAGGGTCGGAGCTAGAAGTTTTTATTAGTGAGGGCACAAATTAATGATTTTTCAAATTATTCTCAATGTGTATTTAAAATTTTAATAAGTAAAATAGTTAGAAAAAAAATAAAAATATACACTGAAATTTTCTAAAAAAAATTGAGCTACTCCCCAAAATTCATTTTCTTTTTTCTAATTTTACATATTTTCATATTCAAATAACATTAAAAAAATAGATTATATCATAAAAAATAAAACTTTAAATTTGCAAAATGTTTCAATCTAACAGTTTCATGGTTGGATCTAACAGACAATTCTTTATAATTTTCAAGAAGGAGAATGCTAGTTCGATTGTTATTTTAATAATTGATATTATATAATAGAACAATTATACTTACTTTTAAATAAAAAATAACTCACTTGAGTTAGTTTTGAGAATATCTTCTTAACAATATATATAACTGTTGGGTCCTGGAGTATTCGCGACGGTAGAGAAATATTTAGTTTAACGTCTTAGCATTGTACGAAGATCCAGCACACAAACAGATAAGTAAGAGGGTGTAGCATTCATAAGAGACACCAAAGTTTTTACGTGGAAAACCCCTAAAAAGGGGGAAAAACCACGGGGCCTGGCCCAGTTTGAATGAATCCACTAGTATTTGCAGTCGATTACAAATGAGGCCCTTCCTTGGGAGAAGGCCTTGGATTGATGTAGCAAATGTACATCATATAGATTGCATTACATGGTAAGAGTTACATATACAGGTTTGTTTGGCCTGAAGGACCGTG